CAGTTGGACACTATAAAACAACATGCATGTGATGGAGATGTGATGAATATTTCATGTCCACCAGGAACCATAATCAACATTAAATTTGCACAATATGGCCGTCAGGTACCCAGCAGCCAGATGTGTCCGTCCAAATCCTGGCAGAATTCTCGATCTGGCAGCTACTATTATAATCAGTATAGTTATATTCAGGAAGATGTCAACTGTATTGCTAAAACATCCCTACAGGTAAGGTTTTATATCTGTTCTACTTGATGGAGTCCGAATCAGCAGTTAAACTACTCAACAAACTGGACAATATAGTTCTTAACACACACAGATGCTCAAAAATAGTTCTTAGCACACACAGATGCTCCAGAATAGATCTTAGCACACTTAGATGCTCCAGAATAGATCTTAGCACACTTAGATGCTCCAGAATACTTCTAAACACACAGATGCTCCAAATTAGTTCTTAAGACAAAGAAGCTCCAAAAAATTTCTTTGCACACAAACACTCCAAATTAGTTCTTAACACACTCATATACTCCAAAATAGCTCTTAACACACACAGACATTCTAACATGTCAAAGAAAATTAAACTGTTAGTTTCAAAATTGAGTTTCATGTGGTATCAGGTGTTCTGGAAATAGTAAGTATAATCTTCCATGATGATGACAAAAGAGAGTCACTGATACAGACATATGAAGTCACATTTGCAAAGGGGAAGTGAGTTCAAAAATTGGTTACAATACAATACAACATATAACATTCACAGATAATCTCTTCATTAAGTTAAAAGAACACAAAGATTTTTGGTAATTGCTTTCTGGGTAGAACATTTTATAATAAGCACTTCATAGAAAAAGAAAGTTAGAAAAAAAAATTATGTTTAAAGTAAAGGGATATCTTATATTTGTTATGTTTTTATATTTAAAATTTAACATCTGTAGATTAAGATTTAACATATCAGGGCAATCTAAATCAACACTTTATTTCATTCTAAATCAAAGATGACCTGCTCCTTTCATACAGACAAATCTGATTAAGTCTAGTATGAAGCGTCAACCCCTATTAGCTTGAGTTTGAAATTGAATGATAATATTTTTCTTATGTACACATTATTCAACACTAGTATATTTACACACACATATATTAAATATATCTCTTAGACATCTTAAACTTATCATTCATACAAATTTGCCATGATTACAGTAATTATCTTTTTAAAAAAGGTTCAGGTGCATAAAGATTTACATTACACATATTTAAATAATCATGTGTTAATGAGTCATGTTAAAGGGGATTTTTATTCCACAAAGATTTTTATGTTTAAAGGAGCTAAATCTCTATTCTTTGGCACTAGAAATGGACTCAAATGGGTCGCAGTGCATATAATAATGTAATATGAGTGTATATAAACTGATTTATATTCCATCTTTTCTATTTTTACTTTAATTTCTAATCGGTTATGTTAAGCGAAATATGCAGTGACAAGAGTCCAAACTGAATGGCAGTCTTATGGCGCCTGGTTATTCCATTCTACACCGGTAGTATTCTCCTGTGGGATATGTTTAGCTTTGTTCATTGAGTCGCGTCATTATGGCACGCGATTCTTGTGCCAATTTTAAAATTTTCATTTTGTCATATATTGGATATCAGAACCCCATCTTTTCACGGTAAGATAACAACTTCAATGTTGATTTAAATTGACCAATAAGTCATGTTTCCAATGTCGAAGTCTGTGGATATTGAGTTAAAGACTTGCCTCATTTAATATGCTACAATTTAGGAGTGTACATCAGCTTGTGCTGTCAGTACATCAAAATTGCTATGTTTTTTCTATTAAACCTGATATGGCTAAAACGATCTTAACCCACCTTAATCACATTAATATTAATTTAACAAATTTGATAACTTTTCGAACCCTAACCTGTTTTGGAAATCTTGTATACATCACATATTGTGAAGAGGTGAAATCTTGATATCTTCCTATATAAGCAGGTATGGTCTGATTATATACATATATTATTAGCACATTTAGTTCTTGAGATCAGCCCATAGCAATGACTGGCATACAAAAAAGGTAAACATTTAGTGAAAACACAACCTTCCCCCAAATCACAAGGAAAATATTTGGAGAAACTTAAAGACACTCATAAGTGCAAAAGTATTGCAAGCAAATGCACAATGGAAGAAAGATAGGACACGACATTGGACACCAAAGAGATAATATTATATAGACATGGACCTGCCTATAATTCCATCTGTATCCACATTTTAATCCACAAACCAGCAAACTTGGAATAAATTTTATGGTCAACAACATAAAAAGTTCACCATACCCATCGACAAAATAGATTAATGGAAGCTCTCACCTCATGGAGGAGATATTTCCTTTAAGAAAAAGACAGGTGTCAAGATTTTAACCACTGCAGTGATTGATAATATGATAGTAACCTCAGGATAGTGTATAATCATTTTCACCTTCATTACCTTTCTATTATAGAGTTGATAAATCAGGTAGATACAGTGAATGGACCCAATACACTAGAAAACTTGACAGACCATTAAATTATATACTTACATGTATATACTGTCAACTTCACATAATCTATTATAATCCTTAATAAAAAAAACCCTACACACCTTAATGATCTCTAGGACAATTGTTTAGTTTTTGGCACAATTGACTATTGTTCCTAAACAAATTTGTATAGCATTGTGATAGGCTTCATCCTTTTCTAAATTACTGAATCATAAATATTTCTCTATTATTTACTTTTAAAGCTATAAAAAATATCAATATTTATGTTACAGTACCTATATATGACTTCCATTCAGATTTGGTTTTATTTTTCACTTTTTGTTATAGAGCAGACTACTGAATCAAAAATATTCGATAAACATGATGGAATTTACAATAATCAATGAATGTTTTTTGTTAATAGAGCCCCGGAAGGGTGGTTAAACTGTAGGTTATAAAGAGTTATTCCCCTTTAACTATTGTAAGTTTTGGCATCCAAGTTCCCAACACCCTGTTCTTCATCATTACACATATATGAATCCAAGTTCCCAACACCATGTTGCTTTGAATAAATATTTATAAGTTACTCAAAAAGAAGTCTATATGGAATATTATATTATCTCCAATATTGTATTATCAAATTGTCGATGTTAAACATGGTGGAAGGGGGAGAGGGTTTGGTTGTATGGGGTTGAACGTCCACTCGACACAAACTAGGTCATTTCGAGACGAACACATGGTTCAATGGACCTGGAGAAAATCCACAAGGTTGGACAGGCGACCCTGCTCCTTGTCACGTACAATCGGGAATCAAATCCACGCCAGTTGACTCAATGACAGACCTTATGATACAGCGCGCACGTGCTAACCATTCAGCCATCCCCCCCCCCCCTCAATATGAGAAAGGTGTTATATGATTATGTAATGGCTAATATGAATTGACTAATATTCATCTGTGTAATATCTATAAATAATATTCACTAAGCAGTATCGATATTGAAATTCAACTGTGTATTATCTATATTGATGTTAATATTTAATTGTGTAATATCTATATTACCTTTGAGTGAGGAATACATATATTACCGATTAATATGCAACTGTGTAATATTTATATTAATATTAAACATACATTATGCAATAGAGCTAAATCTGCTTATTGCAGGTCTTTCTTTAGGCCTGAAATGTTATATTTTAAAATTTAAATTAGGCATTAATTAACTCTCAATGTCATCTTATGTGTCATATTTTCACTGGATTTGAATCTGATCTGCTGCTCAACGTACATTGATGATTAAATGCAAAAATGGATAATCGAGACTATGTTTTAAATCGTACTGACTTAAGTAATGATGATTGGGGCTAGGCTTAAAATTCAAAAGCTAATATAGTGATAACAGTCAACTCTTTATCTAATCTCCCATAATGCCTCTTTAATATACAGTTGAGTAATATCCATATTAATATTTGTTTGTGAAATGCATATACTAGTATTCAACTGTGCAATATCTATATTAATGTTCGATTGTGCAATATACATATAAACCTTGTAATACAATATGATAGCACAATAAATGCCTGTCGACTTTACAATTAAATGAGAAGGATCCTGATTTCTTGAAAATATAAGTGGGAAATAGCCTTATATCCAGGGCCGTCACTAGCTTAGAGCAACCAGGGGGCGAGAAATGTTCTTCGGGGTGCTGTAAAATTGATGGACAATATATATCAATTTTTTTTATGGTCGAAATTTTTTTCACGGGGGGGGGGGGGGGGGGGGAAGGGGGGGGCGAAAATTTTTGCAAAGCCTCCCTCTGCGCCCCCCCAAGTTATGGGCCTGCTTATACCTATTCATTTAGTAAATTGGTGCAGAGGTTTAGATTTGAATAGCAATCAACAGAACAGTTATAACTGCTGTGTAGTATAAATTTATCTCCAAAATCACTGACATTAAATCTAAAATTTACCCATATTTGATAATACATGGCTTATTTTATATTACTGTCTATTCAATTGTAATGTTGTACTGGACTGTTTGATACTAAATAGTCTCTGACTATTGGTAGATAAGTATCTCAGGCCTCTGGTGGCTCAGACTTTGTGTACAACATATGACTAACAATCAAGGTATTATACACTTTGCACAAAGTGAAATATTTAAAGTTTGTCCTATTGTGTATGCATGTTTTCACTAATCAAAATCTTTTTCTCTCCCTTACATAATTGACAATGCATTTGGGGTTTTCTCCAAATTAAAATGCAGAATATGTTAATAATTGTTTATAGTTCTGCTGTGGATTACTTGCTGTGTCAGTAATAATACATATTTATAAATATAATAGTCTTTGTTAACTACCTTTAAAATCAGGTAGACATAATATTATATAATGGTATAAAGCTTGACAGCTATTTAAATAATCAACTATCAACTACAGAGTAGGGTTATACCTATTGAATACTGCAGTAACTTTTCATTAAATGGTGGTTAGACCTTTTCAAGTGACTGCCAGTCTGACATTGGACATAAAGCCAGATTCCGAGACAATAAACTTTTCCTGAGAAAATTGGACTGGGCGATCAATATCAGTGTGTTGGTTTCCATGTGTGATGTGTAGTAGGTCTATAGAACGTAAACCAGCCTCTAGCATTATATGACTGATCTTGGAAACAATGGATGACGCTACACACTAGCAACGAGTCATGTTACAGATGCATATAGAAATCATTGTTCGTACGACTTCAGGTAATATCAACATCATTACAGTGCTAACCCGTGTTATACTAGCGACAAGCGGATGTATTTAATGGAATGATATATAGGTAGAGTGTGATTTAAGGTGTGCGTTATTTATCTTCATCTATTAAGAGTTTGTATTAGGACAATGATAGCTGACCTTAGTGAAAGCGTGTTGTGAGGTATGTGTACATATACATATATGTTACAAATCTACAGGTAGTAAGTTTGTACATTGTGTTTTATTTAAATTTTCTACTGTACATCGAAACTTTTGTGTGTTTTTTATTTTGGGGATATTTCAGTGTATCATTTTGTCTGGATGTTTTTGGTTGATAATGCATTAATCATGTAATAACGGTAATGTATATATGATGTAAGTCACTCTACTATGTGTTTGGAATCTGTCTATCAAACATGTGGTTTCCGTATTGCTATATATTATGAGTGTTTTATTTTAAACCTTTTCTTTATCAGATGGTAAATAGTAAAAAGTTATATTGAGTTAGATTTATAGGTGAATAAATGTGTTGTAGGCTTCCTTTCAAGTGGAATTTTATTGAATGAAATTTTATTTAGAATACTTGACAGCTTTTATTGTATCCGATATTTATCCAGTGAAAGAGTGTCAACATTAGTTTGGGAGTATTTTTTAATGAAAAGGTATTGAAGGACAGTTCTTTTTCTGTAATTGAAGAATTTGGTCACTGAAAACATAGGTTATGTCTGATGTTTTCACAGCATACATTTGTGAAGCTAAGATTGATTCATTGATAAATCACAAAGATAAAGTTGGTTAAAACAGGCATCCTTGAATTATACTCGTGTCAAGAGAGATGGATCATTTGTTGTCTTAAAAGGGGATAATCCAAGTAATTTGATATTCAACTAGAAACGTTTGTCTTTGTTTATTTAATTTATGTATTTAGCACAAAACAGATTTTTAAAGACTTTCTTGTAAACTTGTATTCAGTTCTAGAGGGATTTTGATATATTATATTAAAATTTTTTTTTCAGTTTGTCCAACATGAACTGAATGGTACACAAATTCAGCATTATTTTAAATTACCAATTATCAATATTATTATAAGACAAAAGAAATGAACGTTCAAATTAACAATTAAAAATTATTTTGAAAACATCTATCATTAGATAAGAAAATGTTAAAATATTATATTCATCTTTTTAAAAACTGCACTAAATGGAAAGACTTTAGCATTTATTTTCAAAACATCTATCATTAGATAAGAAAACGTTAAAATATTATATTTATCTTTTTAAAAACTGCACTAAATGGAAAGACATTGGCATGTAACTAACAAATTTGTTGACTGTACATATCAACATTTATTTAATCGGCTGTGTCGTGTGTCTGATAAATTAAGTGTCTCTCATTTAACATGTGGTGTTAGCTGTAATCTAACCAGACCGTGACTGGATGCCATAATGTTGATGTTTGGTCATTCAATATTGATCCAATGGTAATTTGTTCATTCTGATTATAGTCCACTGTTGGCTATACTAATGGTCAGTTAATCCTTTTACTGTATGACCAGTCATATGGTCAATGTTTAGACATGTAATTGTTTGTTAATCCTGGATTATTTGGCTCCATTTTGTATGTTAATAGACAGAAAAGAAAGAGTGAGATGAGATTTATCAATGTGTTTTTCCCGAAGGATCATTTACTTGTTTGGAATTGTAAGCCTGTTTCAGTTGATTTTTTGTCCAAAATATAGCCCATATAGTAACAAAAATTCCCTATATTTTATGTTCAATGATTAGGGATCTTCTTTAATTAAAAAGTAAAATCAGTGAGGTAGAATGGAATATTTAAGTTAACAGGAATCATCTTAATAATTGTATTTTCTATCAATTGAACAGCAAATAATCAAAACTGAAAGTTATTTTTAGGGCCACACTAGGATAATAATTTGGTAATGTCTATCATGTTGTTAAATCTTTTGTTTCACAACCCTATTTTATCCATTTTGAAATTGGCACATTCAAATATTTTGAAATATTTGATATATTTATTTTAGATTTATGTGAATACTTTGTCTAGTTTTATAGTTGTTTTCTAAAAGATGATGTTTGACATTGTTTGTCTCTGAATTTGAAGTCTTTCTTTAAAACAGTTTACATTTACTTGCACTAAAAGTGTTGCAACTTTTGACCACAAATACTGTTTACTGACATGTTTTTGTTTTTTCCCTCAATTACTAGGTGGCTTGTAGAAGAATGTGGATGGTTTATCATGTGTTTAAGATGAAATGACTGTTGTAAGGATGGCCTAAAGTCATTAAGTTTGTCTTAACAGGGAGTTTAACTGTCCCTCCATCTTGTTTCACAGTAAATCGTTTTCTTGGCCTGGAGCATGCACACATCAAACCTGAGTGAAAGTACTTAGATTATCAAGGATGGCAACTTGTTGAGTTCACTAGCAACAGAGATTTAACACAGTTATCTCTAGGATATACTTTGGAAAGAAAAGGGTGTATATGGTGTATCAAATTTTGTGACAAATATGTAAAGTATGACTAAATATCGTGGGAGTTTCAGTGATGTGAAAATAAGTTCTTGATAGGATTATACATTTTCGTCCATGAATAAGCTTTTCCAGATTGTCAGGAATCAAATATGCGTCATGTGATACATGTGTAAACTTATAAAGTGATTGAAAGTGTGCGGTTGAATATTTAAGTATAGAATAGATTAATAGATTACTAGTTGAGAAGTTGACTACTAACCAGATTATTATGTGGAAAGTGTGCTTTATAACTTGTGTTTTGCTGGGATTACATACAACCCCAGGTAATCAAGCACAGGTAAGTCAAAACTATCTTTGTAAATATATTAAGATTTATATTTCAGTTTGATATCTTCATGAAAAAGAGAATACAATATTCTATTAGTAGACTATGAGTGTTGCTCTTTCTAGATTATGTGATATCACTTCTCATTTGAGGAGATAACACAAGTTATAAACATTTTACTATACAATACAATTGATTCACACGGCATTATGAATGAAATTTCAGATTCATACCATATGTGAGATCTATTTAAGTTTAAAAATAATTGATAGGCGTAGGTGAGATGTATTTAAGTTTAAAAATAATTGATAGGCCTATGAACTATTGGAACCACGCGTGACATAACTGCAGCCATCTTTGAAATATGACTTCATATTCATGGTGGGGGTGATGGTCTTGGAACAATAAAAATGCAGAAATAAGGATCTAGATTAAAGGACAAATAACTCTTGTTTACCAATTAACAAGATAGCAAGTATCAAATTTAACCTGATTAAAGAGGGGGTGTTGAAGTACTTTAACAGTTACATACACATTTAATGTAAAGTGCTTTGACAGATTTAATGTCCTGTTAAGGGTCAACAAGGCACAGGAAGAACTTTGTAGTTGAAACAAAATTACTGAAAAAGGTCTAGGACATAGGTCAACTTTGAAATATTTTAATACTAACCACTGCTAAAGAAAGGCACTGTGACTAATAAACTTGTGCTAATGAAAGTTCAGATAAACCAAATTAAAAAACTTAAAAGTCAAAATTAATTACGTGTCAGAGTTTCTTGAATTTTATTTACTAAATTAAGAAAAAAAAGTGTATAGAAAGTAAAATTAGTACTTATTTCTGTACATATCATGGTTTAGAGTGCGGGAAATGTATCCCCTACTTCCTCCTGGAGAAGTCCCCCCCCCCCCTTGAGATATTCTACCAGTCCCTCCTCTGACAACCTTCCAGTGGAAGGAACCTAAGTGGGAGAGTTAACCAAGAGGAGTGGGTGCATTTTACCTGGGGGAGAACTGTGATGCCTCAAACTTAAATTGTGTCTTCTAGATGAGAACTTCATCCCCATGTATAAATACATGTAAGACAATTAATCAGCTCATATATCAGTTTGTAAATTAAGCAGGATTAGATTAGATTAAATGGACTAATTGAAGGATTTAACACCATCTGGTGAAAATAAGCGACAATGTAGCCTGTGAAGACATCTTAATTTAAATTATTATATAAAACCTAAAGTGGATTGAATTGTGTAGGTTTCAATCATCAAGAGAGGACAAGACAGCAATAAGAAAAGATTTCATTGGTCATTGAATGATTTGTCCAGATGTTGATATTGGTCACCATGGAAGCCGGGTTTAGAAAGGATTGCTCTAATTAACCCATGCTGGTTAGCTTGTCTAGATCTTACCAGCAGATTGTCAGATGCCTGTTTGATATGTCCAGCTGGAAACTTTCAAATAAGGTTCCTGCTATTCAATATAATTCTCCTGGTGTGTGTAATGAAACTGTATTTCAACTATTTTGTAGTGTGATCTATGAAACACTAAACAGCTCTGTCCAAATGAAATTCATACTGGGGGGTGAGCCAAAAGGTGGGGGGGGGGTCCTTGGGCTTGACCCCCAAGAAGATTTATAAACTAAGGAATACCCATTGGAAAATTATTGGAGAGTCTTCAGCCTGCCCTACCCTCCATGGGTTTGCAGAGCTAGGTGGTAGGAATAAAAGAAAAATTGTTACTGGAAACGTAAATGTAAATATATCCTTCATAAAAGTACAGCCATACACCATTTCCAGTAACCCAGTCCTCCCCCCCACACACACACACAAACAACAAACAACAACAAATTAATAGAAATCTCAAGAGTAAATTAACCCTATTGGCAGAGGCGTAGCCGTGAAATATATATTGGGGGGTCCGCAACCCTAACCCCTAATCCCAACCCTTTTTTAAAACCCCTAAAAAAATATAAACAAAGCATTATGGTTACGTGGCTAGTTGAGCGGGCGATAAATATTTGGCTTAGGTGATAATGTTTTTGGGTACCTACATGCGATTATCATGATTGAAAAAAATTAACAAAATATTACTGACAGGCTAACTAGACACAATTTTATGAACCACAGTTACTTTTCACTTGACACATGTTACCAGGATGATTCTCTCTGTGTTTTATTTTAGCAATGTAAACCATATTATGGAAATTTGGGGGGGGGGGGGGTCCAAGTATATTCAGCCCCCCCCCCCCCCCCCCCCCCCGAAAAACAATGGGGGTGTGTGTGTGTGGACCCTCCCGGACCCCCCCCCCCATGTGTGACGCCCATGCCTATTGGAGCAGAACAGTTCTGTGGTCTCTTATGTTAAATTTAATTAGTTTAAGATATTTATCTAGACTTGGCAGGAAATCTAGTGACAAGATTGATGGACTTTATTTTTTGAAAATAAATGCCAAAGAAAAACTTTTCTCAGCATGGTAATCTTTTTGCTTCCAGGAATATGGAGACATGCTCCTACTTATAGAATTAAACACGCTTTTATCAGAAAATTATACTTATAATGGAAATGTAGGATTATTATTTAATACATTTCATTTCAACTCAAGACAAAAGGAAGGTTTTTAGACAGATAATTCTTTCTAATATTTTATCTAATTTGAGGTATGTTTTGTTTGGAAAAACAAATATTTTTCCATTTTAATGGTTGTTAATAATGTATTGGCTCATAGAAAATGAAATAAAGAAAAGCTGTGCTCTGTGAATAAGATCTTGTTAATTGGTAAGACTACATGTCTGGAACTTTATTTATTATTTAAGAAAAAATAACATGCAGGTTATAAGATTTAAAGAGAAAGAAATTCTCAAAGTCCTCCATGTATGTAACATATGGATCTTGGTCTGCAGCTTCTAGATCAGCTTACTTCATTTCATCACTTGATTTCCATACAATAAACTGTACCCTCTAGTCATAGCCATTTTTCTAATTGTCCACATGAACTAGAATGTGTATTATATAACTTAGGTTAAGTAACAATTGTTAAGCATCATTATCAAAAGTCTGTCCAATGTCGATTTAATGAGCCTTTGTTCCATAAAATTAGTGAACAGTATTTTAAAAGTCTCCACAGGCAATTAATGTCAAATTAAAAATTTATGATACCACTTATGACAACAGGAAGGAATTATTGGCCTGCCTATATTTATCAACTACTTTATATAATTTAGGAAATTCCAATGCACGACAAAATCATTTCCAGAATTCATTCGAGATATCTCCAAATTTAAAAGTAATATACCGTCAGGGCTGTCGGTAATTTTTCACAGATGATTAGCAGCACTGCTAATCAAAAAGTCCAATTTTGCCAAATTTGATTAGCAAATTTAAAAATTGATTAGCAGTTTTTCGGTTTCAACATAAAACACCTAAATAACAAGATTACTTTAATTTATAACAAATGATTAGATTTCATTCTTAAGATTTTTAGAATTTTAGCACTGCTACAGTACAGGTAGCTGTGAACATTTCTGAATGTAGACTTTTGGTTATGCCTGAAGCCAATTCTTGGCAGTGGCTTCCGAAGTCCCACTCATTTTAATTCTTATTTCTTTGTTAGAAAACAATTTTGTCTGCTTTTTATCGTGTGTTACTATTTTTTTTACGAATAATCTCGATTAACTAGACAATAATATTTTACGGGAATTCTTACTTTGATTTCTCATTTTACAATACGTTGACACGTATTTATTTTTTATATTTTATTGGCAATACGTGGGGGATACACTGAATTTATTTTGTTAAAATTGAATATTGATATAATTACTCGAAATTGTTATGTCTTGCAACATGAGTGGTACTATTTGATTCCCTATTTCTGGTTTAATAATCCCAATTCATAGAGTTATGTCCCTGTATTACGTGTATAGTATAATGAATTGAGTCTGGGTAGTTTGAGAAGAAAATGTCACACGGAGAATTCAGTTTTGCTTATAAAATTTATTTGACATTTTATACACATTGAAAGTGTTGAGAAATGTGGATAAATCTTCGTGTCAATATCCAAAACGACAGGCATATAAATAAATGATTCAAAAACGTTAGATTTTAATTTTTGATTAGCAACGGACAAAATATGTATCGCAAATTGCGCTGCGATACTGGTTGTCGGCAGCCCTGTATACCGTTCAGACACTTATTTTTAAACCAGTTCAAAATCACTGGGGTTTTTAAGACACCAATATACAACTGGCGGTAGTTTTTACTTTGATGTCCATAGCAGTTATATCTCATAACAACCTGTCATGACATCATCATAGGTTGATATATTCGTTCATATCAACCGCTGATGACGTCATGACAGGTTGATATTTCATATCAACCGCTAATGACGTCATCTCAGGTCAGTATATTCGGCTCATATCAACCGCTGATGACGTAGATGGTCGAAATAATACAAAAAAACACAGAAAATTTTTTTTATTCTTTTGACAATTAAAATTTGTTGTGCTACAGTTTCTAACATTCAGGACCGAAATAGACGGCGTACTTATCGACATACATGTATTTAGACCGGTTATCCATGTCTAAGACATCTTTCAGAATTTTCCTTTCGTCCACATTGCGATTATTTCTCCACACACTACAGGACTTGAAAGTATTTATCGCCGAAGAGTTCCTTTGTAAAGTATTTTTGGGTACAGTCCACTTAAAACAGTCGGTCAAATCCTTCTCTGAACATACCGAAAACCTTCAATCATAGTTCACTGTCAGAATTCTTGGAAAAGAATGCCTTTTGGTCCAAATTTTCTGCAGGCTTTGGATAGATCCTCGTCGATATTTGCATTCACATCTATTCCATCGTCAATATGTTGGCTAAAAAGGATTGATTATTCGTCTGACTTCGTATTATTATCCATTTTGTTTTTGCTTTCAATTCAACAGTCCAAAATGGCGACATATAAACAAAAACATGCACGTAATTGCACGTGATTACTTCGGTAATTTTCGCTATTTGGCGGAAA